AACTGCCCGGCAGGCTTCTGTCGCTCAAGACTAGGTCGTGTACAGTTTCATTATGGAACATTAAATAATTATTTTTGAAATGATTGCTATGCAGGTTTAAACTTTTTTAATGATCAAAAAAAAAAACTATTAAAAACAGAGTTCTTTCTTTAATCAAAATTGTGTTGGTTGTGAATATTTCAAAGCTGCCGTTTCTTTCTTTCATGCATTTGATTGTCATTGCGATTTTCATTCATTTTCCCCTGCAAAGTTAACGCTTGAATCTCACGGGGAGAAAATGCAGGAGGTTCAGAAACAAACTGAGCACAAGCAGGACAGAACCGAAGTATTAACGTTCTCATTTACTGCTGACTTTTTAATTTTTTCCCTCAGTTTTCCCCAAGCCGGTAGCGGCCACTATGGCAAAACCCCTTTGGATGGATGGAAAACTGGAGAACCCCCAATGAGCCAGACGAGAGTGTAGATCCTCCTGGTTGGGGACCCCATTTTTAAAGGCAATTAGCCTTGCCTTGAAGGGGGAGAGGAACACTACTGCCGAGGAGCAAACCGGTGACATGGAGCACAGGGGGGGCTTCATGCACAGCAGAGGTGCGGTGCCGGTTGTGTATTCTGGTAGGAGAGGCACATCCCGAACAGCCCGGCCTGTGGGTGAGCGCCGCAGGGGCAGTCAGCATGGCCAGCATGGCGGCCACACGGGGACACAGCCTGCGTGAGTCCCTGCTGCCCGCGGGCACTGGTGCTGCTTGGCCGCGGCAGCTAAATTTCTAGAAATAGCTTTATTCTGAGGGCAAAAGGGGTGTTGGCAAAAAAAAAGAAAGCGTGTTAGTGCTCGCAATGCAGGAATTTGGCCTGTAACAAATTGGTTTATATGAAATCAAAGCATGGGCTTTTCTTTTTTTCTTTCCTTTTTTTTTTTTTTATCAAAGGGTCTTTTTTTTTTTTCTTCCTTTTTTTTTTTTTTTTTTTGTAAGTGCAAATAGGTGGAGAAATTCCCTCCTGGAGGTCTAACACCTGAAGTAAAGTGTGTGGTCAGACACTGGGTATTGGCGGCAGTGGGTGCTCCCAGGCGTACTTGGGGCAGGGTAACTCGGACAAAAACCTGCCCCTGAAATACCGGCGTTGCTCACGCTCCAAAATGGTTTTATCATTTCAAATGGAAGTATTTTTAAATGGAAATATTCCAGTTGTTTATTTCTCTGTACTGCTTTTCTTATTTATGTGTTTCTTTCAATTGAGGAATGAAGACAAAAGCAGTGATTTGGGTCAGGAAGATGCCATTCCGATTTGCTAAGAAAATAAGCACTTTAAAAACGTTCTGAACTCTCGCATTTTGATGAGGTGCGTTTGGGGTGCTCCGTAACGGTCGCCACCCCCAAGAGCTCTGTTAAAGTCACAGCGGGAGGGTTTAGTTCCGATGCCCAAAAGACCAGCAAGCCTTTCTATACCTCATTCCTGTGTAAACAGATGGTCCGGTAGCAGGGGTGAAGAGTAGCTGGAGTGATAGGAAGGGTGGACCAGGATTATCACCAGTTTCATTCAGGCTCAGGCACTGCTTTATTATGCAGCTTTAAGCAACTCCCATAACCGAGGCATGCCTCAGTTTCCTCATTTGTAAAAGTAATAGTTACTGGTTGTAAAGGGAATGCTGTGAAGCCTAAATACTTTCTCTTGCTGGTAAGATCAGAATCCCTAAATGGAAAGTTGCTTTAAAAGTGCAAAGTACATATTGCTAAATGTTTGTATGCAACCTGACATGTAAAGACTTGCAAAGAATGCTTTGCTTTGCGTATGTATTGCAATATTTGAACAGAGCACAGCGAGTTAGGGCAGGAACATCAGGTTCCTGACATTTTGTGTTAAATCTGAACCAAATCTTTAAAGGAATCTGCCAAAACATGTGTGAGACTGCAGCTAGTGACTTATGCTGCTGAAAGGAAGAGGTGCCACTTTTCCCCTCACTCCAGTTGCTCTCCCAGCCGCTGGCCGCACAGTCTTTCCTCACACCTTCTGCCATGCTGGTGCCCACCAGATGCTTCTGTGAGCCCATTCAACTCTCTGAAATCACAGAAAACTGTCCGGTGATTTATTGGATTTTTTTAATGCCATTTTAGAGAGTTAAGTCAGCATGTGGAGAGATGTTTACTAAAAGAGGCAAGAGCAGATGATAGGCAGGGCCAGGGAGGGAAGGGGAGCAGGTTATGCTCCTGTCTTTGTAGGGTGAACTGCTAATTCAGCTCCCCACGTCCCATAAAAACCTGAACGTCACTTCCTTGTGCTCTCAGGTCTGCACTTGCTGATCTGCAGGGAAAGGTGAAGTCCAGTGGTTTGATTTTCCAGGGTGAATGGCTCAGCGGCTCCCATGCCACTTTTTTCTCTTGGAGATCAGGCAGCTCTTTCAGGGACTGGAATAGACCTTCTCCTTAGACTCAGTTTTTGGAGAATGTGTCAAACACTGGATGAGGTTGGCAGGGCTCACGCTTTGCTCATGTCCCCATTTGCAGGCAGGCGTGTGGATGTGTCCACAGAAGCATCTGCCGCTCTGGGAAGCAGTTAATGGTCTGTAGCTGGCAAGAGGGGCCAGGGAGAGGGCAAGAGGGGGCCCTACAACTACAAAAGCAATAATTACAATTCTGCTTGGGTTTTAGTTAATGCCATTTTGGGGCACGTGGGTTGGGTTTTTAGTAAAAAAAGGAGTAGCTAACCATTTTTGGAGTGCAGCGAGTCAGGCCAAGTTTTTAAGCTGTTTGACATTCTGTTACCGTCACTTTTTGGGGTGGCTGAAAGAGACTGTGCTAAAGCTCGCTCTCAATGTGATTCGAGGCCCCTTCTGTTTACAGATCGCTAATTAAACAAGTAACAATGAAAGGCTTAGCTCCAGAAGGGATGCGGGTAGGTAGGAGAGTTTCTCTTTGCAGCACGTTACCCGGGCATAGCCGTCTCTCTAGGAAAGAATGTGCCTTGCGGCCAGTCTCAAGAACGGCCATCGGTCTCTGTGTCGACGGCCCGGGGACCCAGGGGAAGAGCTGGACGCAGATCCAGCTTAGAGGCTCGGTGTGTTATGCTCAATGCAGATGTTATCGGCCAACGCTCCTAAGGACACTAGGCGTGCTTCTGAGCCTCCCATGTGTATCTGTGTCGGATAGAGCTGTGTTGTTTCCTTACTGAATGAAATCACCCTTTTATCACGTCCTACGTGTGAGTTAATGGTTCTTTATTCTTTTGTTTCTCCCCCCCTTAATTCAGATGGTGCTGAAACAAGGTTCACTCCTTGTTGGTCCTTTTGTAGTTTTTTTTAATTATTGTTTTTCTTTAACAGCAGGCTATGTTAGCCTTTACTTTACAGGTACTTGAATGCCTGATGACTTGACTGAGTGTTACGCATGTGGCCTTTCGTAAAGGTTACTGACCTTAATTTAATCAGGGGTGAGATGGATGGATGAATGAGAATAGATCCATGCCGTTAAAACAGAATAAAAGTAGGGATTGGAGTTTGGGAGAACTGATGAATTTTTAATTGAATTTATTAAAGAAAAAAAAAAAAGAAAGAAACCCTTCCCAGTCATAATCTGAATGAGATCTATTGCTGGAGGAGGGTTTCATAATGAGAAAAATGCGACACAAAAATAGGGGCAAACTTCCAAGATAGAAAGTGCCTGGCTCTCCTTGCAGTCCCTTGGGCCTCTTTCTATTTTGTGAAAAACTCTAATTATTACCATAACTTTTTCTAGATGTGAATGTTTAAGCTTTGTAACAATTTCTTAGTGAACACACTGGTGTGCTAATGCATGGCTATTGAGCGCTTTGATCTTTTCCATCGGAAAAAATCATGGATTTGATCAAATTCAGATTGCAATTCCTTTTTAGAGCCAACTTTGACAAAGAAATTAATCTTTCACCAATGAGCGCCTTTTAAAATAGCTCATTTACCAAAAGATGTCATTTGGAGAATGGAAGTAATCATTTGACACTGAAGCAATGAAAGAAACAGCTAGAAGTAGACTTGGATTTTTTTTTAAATCTTTACGTTCCCAGTGTAAAATGCCGTGTCCTCCTCTTTCTCTCTCCCCCCCATATCAAAACTAAAAGTCTACTCGGTGTTTGTCATAACATCTGTATTGACTGACAACAATTGTATTAATTCCTCCAGTTAAACATCCTCTTACAGCACGGGGCGGATTGGTGGTCTGCTCTTTTTTTCCAGGCTGTCTCTGCTGTCTGTCGCAGAAATGTGGCCTTCAAGGGCGTCAGCCTGGCAGAGCCATTTCCCTGGGCCTGGGATGGGCCTGGGGTCTCCCCAGGAGGGACCTGCCCCACGCAGGGTCTTAGCTGGCGTCTGCTGGAAATAAAACCGCATCTTCCAAAATTTTGTACATCTCACCCTTGTTTAAAACTAAGTCAAGCTGGCCTTTATACCACTATTTTAACTGTCTTCACACATGTTTTTTAAGTTGGAGTTAAATTAGGGGGAGTTAAATTAGGGGGGGTTATGGGACTCGTCAGATGCTTTGGGATGCTCCCTCCCACTCTTTCGTGATGTTTTTAGTGACTATTTCACAGTGGATTAGTGATGATCCAATGGGCCTTGCGACCTTGTACATAATTCTGTATATTTATTTTGAGAGAAAATATGTATAGTGTTTGGATGATGAGAATGGAAACCTGAAATAGGAATTCTTAGGTGGGCAAATGTAAAGCAAAAAAGCAAACAAAAATACAACCTTATTTTGTATAAAATGTACATTTTTGAGAAAAAATTTCTAATGCATTACCAATGTTTTCATAGTGCTGCCACATCTTTTTTAAAGTGTTTCTCCCTCCTTGTTTGACTATTGACAACATGGTGCAATTAAACCTAAAGCAAGTGTGTGAGTGAGAGAAAAAGAGAGAATGAGAAATTAAAAAGCCATATAATTTGGTTTACTTCATTAACCTGTATAACATCATAGGTTTACCATCTAAGATAGGTTGTTTTTATAGATAGTGTCACCAAAGACTTTTTTTCTTCAGGTTTATTTTGAAAAGTTGTTAATAAAGGACGTACATTTCTGTTGCAGTGTGTTTTTATTTTTAAGGTAGAATAACAAATCTTGCTTGTGTTCCTTGAGAATGCAAATTTGGGAGCATGATTGCCATGTGTCTCAAGTTCGGGGTAGTTCAATGAATGTCTCTTTATCTGCTTTCTCCTCAGCTTGAACTGTGCGATGGCTATATCTATACCCTGTGTCTCTCTTACATAGATAATATATGTGGTATAGCACCTATAGACAGTAGTAACTAGTCCAGCAACATTGACGGGTGTTTACTGTCTTACCTGAGGGCAGAAAAACATTCAGTCTGTGTCACTTGTGTGTGGCTGGACAGTATCCCTGTGTTGTGACACAGTCATTGGTAGGTAACAGTGGCTTTTAGAAGGATTCACTGTAAATGTGCATGTGCAAAAATCATC